GAGAGAGAGAGAGAGAGAGAGAGAGAGAGAGAGAGAGAGATGTCATGTGATGAGATGGGCATGTGTGTACACGTATGAGCAGGGCACATATGTGTACGGACACGCAGGCAAGGCGGAGACGCATGGCAGAGACGGTAATACCTCAGAGTGAGATGGCAACGGAAGCACCTGCTCAGTGGTATCCATTTGTAAAGGCCGTTGCAATCAAAGGTCCCTAAAATTGCACAATTGTTAAGGTCATCAGTGCGCTATACATGGGAACAGATTGTCATACTCTGGGAAAGGAGATCACCTCTAGGACTAGAGTCTGTGGTTGCCAGCATGAATATGTAATTCTGAGACACTATGCATGGGGAGTTAGGGTGACACTGTCCCCAGCTCCCTCCTTTCCTGCCCTGTGATTCCCCCACCCAAGCTTGTATACTGCCCAAGGGGAAACCAAGAGCCAAACTCTGAAGGACTCATGCCCTAAACAATGCCCACAGTGACCATGAACCCCACAGGGCAAATTCAAGGGTCTCTCCATCCTCAGTCTCAACAGATGCATTTGAGGGGTGAAATGTCGGTGCTGATCCAACGGTGATGGCCTGTGATGATTTCAGAAATAACATCACAGTGTGAAGGTACCAAGACCCAGGTTTTCAAGAACAAACAGGGTGTGTGTTTCTTGCTGCTGAAAACTGGAACTGAGTCGTGTTCTGAGCACTGATGGACAGGCCCCCAAATTGACGCAGCTCTGGGCTGAAGAACAATGTTTTGGATCTGGTACTACAGTTGATACGAGGGGATTAGACTCATCAAACTACTGATTCAAGTAATACTGGCTTTGGAGGGAATAGAAAGAGGGCTCAGGAATCACAGGGTTGGCTGACATGTACAAATATGTGAGTGTGTGTGTGTGTGTGTGTGTGTGTGTGTGCGTGCGTGCGTGTGTGATGTTCCTCCAATGCCAGGAGGCATGAATAAAGTTGCCTTGGTCCCCCAGGCTCTCACAATGGCTTTGGTCCCCCCAGCACAGTCCCAGAGACAAGAGTCTGCCCACTTTCTCCCAGATACAGAATCTGATGCAGGATGTAGCCTGGGACAGCAGACACCCCTATCTCAACTCAAAATCAAATTGCCTCCAGAAGAATGAGGCTGACTAGGGCTGAGACTAGCCCTAGTTTTTTTTTGTTTGTTTGTTTTTTTGGTTTTTTTTTTTTTTTTCCAAAAATGGAGGGGACTGTCAGCAAATGGGCTCAGGCACATTCATGCTTACACACCAGGAGGGAAAAGAACAATACAATCTGAAAACAGCATGCAAATCTCTTAAGCAAATCTCCATTGCCTGGATTAGTCAGATTATAGAACCACAGAGCATTACAGATATCAAATGCATCTGGCCTTTGGGGGGGGCTGCAGCTAAAGAATGAAAATGGGAACTTACTTGGAACCTGGAAACTGTAAGAAAACATTAGCAAAGGAATGACCTGGGAAGGAGGAGCTTCCCCACTACCACTTTCCAGGTAGGTGGGAGTCCTGCCCACTGAGGTGAGGGGAGTGGCATGAAGACTAACCGCATGCCAGAACAACATGATTTAGGCTATCTGCTCATTCTCACTTTTTTTTTTTTTTTTTGAAAGTATCCTATTCTTACTTTGTAGCCAGGGCCATGGTGGTATGAGTGGTTCAAGGTTGCAAAGGCCAAAGGGGATGGAGGGATGAGTAGAGCTGTCCGTACATCTTACACTCCATGGCTGGGCCAGCAGATGGGAGCTTCAGCTGGCCTGCTGTTGATGGGGGGTCACCCTGTCTCTTCTCTGCCCTTATGCCTTTCCTCCCATGGGCTGTGTAGAGTTGGTGAGGAAGGAAGAGGTGGGAAGGCAGAGAGGTAGGTACTTACAGCTATGCCGTGGCCGAAGCCTGAGCCAGGCTGGGGGCTGGCTGCACTTATGTAATTCCCCACTCCGGAGTCCTGGCTGGCAGGGCCGTAGAGATCGGCGGCGACAGGTCCTGGGCTGTTGGCCCCCGGGAAGCCTCCGGGCCGCGCCGGGTTGGAGCCTGCCGGGGAAGCGGGCGCGCCAAAATTCGGTTGAGCACTGTAGCTATTCAGGACTGGTGTGCAGAGAATAGAGCTGGGTATGAGGCCAGAAGCCAGGCATGCACCGATCATTACAAGCCAAACACTCGAGGAAAAAAAAACAGCTGAGGCCCAACTTCTAACACTCAACCAAGGCCATGCGAAAACATCAGCAGGGACTCAAGAATAGTCAGCCCAGGCTATCACTAAGAAGCTTGGAGCTCCAGAGATAGATAGAAAAAAATAAACAAAAAACAATCATTCAACACAGTATGGCAACCAACCGGAGGTGCTTCACTGCCCACCAAGTTATCACAATAGAAATAGGTATATATGGAGAGAGAGAGAGAAAGAGAGATTTTTTTTCACATCTGAATTGACGCTCATGCAGTCTTCTAGATTTGGGCACGTTGAGACAGCATTCACATCCCATGCAAACTACAAAGGAACTAGTTTTAGACTACACATTGTGTTAATATTGATATTAAAACATGACAGGAAACAAAAGCAATTTTGTGTCCTTGAAAAAAATCTTTGGGAAAGGGATTTGGATTAATTTTTTTTTTCTGTGTGTATGTGTATGTTTCATTTCGTTTCACTTTGTTTTGGATCCATTAAATGACCAATTTGTATGCATGTGTGTGTTTTTTTAAAAGACAAAAAAAAAAAAAAAAAAGATCTCTATTCTGCATCCCTCCTCCTCCCGCCTCCCCACTGGCTACTCCCTCCCTCCCCACCCCTTCCATTTATACCCTGCATGAAAGTTGGCAATACTGAAGTGGTCACAGGATGGGATATGTCATGGAAAGTTTGGGCATCTTAACAGTAATGATGGCGGCAAAGTCCTTCTTTGGGGTGCAGAGCAGGGGATGGAGGGAGGGGATGGGGTGGGAATGGTAACCTGAAGGTTAGCTAAGGCTGGGGTGGAGCCAATGGTCCTAACAGGGTACCCACACACTCACCTCCTACAGGAGAAGGAAAGGGAGGGAGGGATTTAAGCTTTTTTTTCCTTTGGTTTAGAAAAAAAAAAAAAAAAAAAAAGACAAAGAAGTATGAATGCAGAGGATACTAACAAACCAGCTGACAGCTAAAGTGGGTCTGACCACAGTGCATTTTGGTAACATTATCTCAGGCAGAAACCCCAGACTGGGAAAACCAAAGCTCAGAATGTGCCTTGGCTACAGAGGGAGACCTGGCATCCACACAGCCAGAGACTGAGCACTGTCTGGGGGAGGGGCGGCCAAAGGTTGCACCACCTTAGGTTTCATCTTTGCTTATCCCTAACCCCATCACACCTTTCAACTGAGGCCCCTAGACCGTCAAACAGGTGAATTCTGCCTCAGCTTTACACCCTCTTAGTAGATTCAACTTTACTTTCTGTTTAAAAAAATTTTCCAGCATAGGCCTTGGGTGGTGGCGCGTGCCTTTAATCCCAACACTTGGGAGGCAGAGGCAGGCCGATGGATCTCTATTAGTTCCAGGCCAGCCTGGTCTACGGAGAGAGAGCTCTAGGCCAGCAAAGGCTACACATTGAGATCCTCTCTTAAAAAACAACAAAACACCCCTCCCCCAAACCCAAAACAATTTCTATCATAAAAGTAAGCTCTTATTGGTTTTGAGCGAGTGTGAGGCTGGCAGCTGCTAACATGTTTAGAAGAAGGCTCACATCTGCCTCCTAGCTCCTGTGGCATCTCTCCTCTGCCCTGTAACAGCTGTCTTCCATGGCCAAGAGAGTATCTGAAGTGAAGAGTGGAGTCCCTCTTGCCCGGGACCTGTAGCTGGACAACCTCACTTCTCTTGGGACTTTGAAGAACGTGGAAGTGGGCTGATTCTTTCCCCCTTGCACTTGTCACAGGAGTGAGAGAAGAGATTCATGTACTTGAGAAGGACACAAGATGCAAAGTGGCCCAAACCAAGCTGGGCTTGGGCTCCCGCTGCAGCAGAGGAAAGAGGCACTGACGCCTCAGGAAGCCCTTGGGCAGGATGAGCCCCTTTGAAGCACTGGCCCAGAAATTAATAAACAAGACAATGGAGAGAGTGGGTTAAAGAGGAGGGCAGGGTAAAGAGGCTTAAAGCAAGTGAATCACTTATTTGGAAATGTACTGGCAGACAACCAAGACAGCGGAATTTTTGAATAAAGAAGATTAAGCCTGCAGATAACATTTGGCACTTTTTGCTCATGGAGGCAACTATCCAGCTGAGATATCCAAAAGGCGGCACTATCTTGGTGGAACATACCTTTTCCACCTGGGATCAGCAAATGTACAGAGCTAGACAGTGGGCTCTTGGTCTACCCAGGCACCAACTCCCTCCCTCTACCGAGGAAGGAATTAGCTTGCTTTGACTTAGGGTTAGAGGGTGGGGCAGGGCTGGGAAAGGGCAAGTGGAAGATGGAGGGAGATTTTTCAGCTTCTTTCTCCTCTGGTAGGATGTGTTTCCAGCATGATACTAGACAGGGGCTGGAGAGAAGGAAGGCAGGAGAGCCATCTGGAGAACTAATCCAGCCAGAGAAGGATAAGGGCAGCATGCCCATGGAAGAACGCGGTCCAGAGAGACCTCTGTGGAAGGCTTAGAAGGCAGGAGGGCCGCTGGCATTCTCTTTACCCTTGGCAACTTTTCTGGTTCCATGAGCACTTGGAAGCCTGGTGCTTGAGGTGGTCTGGAGGGAATTTCACATTGAGCTCACCTTAGGCCTACAACACCCCTTCCTATGCAGTCATATGTCATCAAATGGTACTAACAGCATAATGGGAAGAAAGGCGCTGTCCTACAACGTGGCTTCCCACCACTCCCAGTTCCATTATTACACACTTGCTCAGCCCAAGCCCCAGTGAAGGCTGGGAGACTTGGCTGGTGGGCAGAGAGTACGGTTGGCAGGCAATAAACACCAGTAGTTCCAAACTGGTCTCCTTCTCCAGGGACAGCAGAACCTTTGCCCTGATAGGTTTGGCCATGGAGGAGCGATGTCTCTTCAGGTTCCACAGTCAACAACAACTGTGGCTCCTGCAGCAGAAGAACCGCACTCCAGACGGCAAGCAACCTAAAGCATATTTGGGAACACTCTTCAGAAAGGGATAGGGACAGACACTTGGTTCTGATAGCCAGCCAGAAGGAAGCTGGGACAAAGGACTTTCTATTTTTCTGGAAATCAGTACAGTTCCACATATTAAGTGTACTACTTGGCTGCTTGATAACCAGGTCACCCAAGAACCCTCTCCTCCTCCAAGCTGTAAGAGGCACAGGAGTGGGCAAGAAGCCAAGTTCCTGTGAGGTGCTCTCTGTGAAACGAAGGGCTCATCCTTAGGCACTAAAACTCAGTTGAAGGAGTCAGGTTTGGTCCCCTCACCCCAGGACCAGGTTAGGAAAAAGAGAGGGGACATCACTTTTCATGGGTATAGAAGGACATCTTGACTATTGTGTGGCTAGTCCAGCTGTGTGTGCGTGCATGTGTGCAGTAATATCTAGAAATATCAGCATGTCTTCAGCAAAAGCTGAGACTGTCATATGGCCTGGGACAAGTCCTGTGCTAGGTTGACAGTTTGGCTCACTACGGTAAGGAGGCACCCTTCCCGGTCAGCAATTCTGAGCAATGTCCACAGCCCTGGCTTAATTCTCGGTTGGTTCCTCCTTTTGCACCTGACCCCCAGCATCCTCTAGGCTTTCCCAGTCCAGGCAGTACCCTCGAGAGGAGGCATAATAGAGAGAGGAGGGGGACACTGGACTTGGAGTCAGAAGAACTGAGTTTGACCCTGACACTTGTGTGCCCTGGTCCAGCCTGTGTCCTTATCTGTAACACATGAGTAATGCATCCCTTATGCAATCCGAGTTATAGGCTGCTGTGAGAATGAAGAGGAGAAAATGCTCCATGACTTATCGGGTATATGCAGAGCCCAACACAGGTACTGTATGCATATTTAGCAAAATCCAATAGAGGAAAATGCAATCCATTTGCCATACAAACCTGAAGGTGAGTTACAAAAGGGTCTAATCCATCCATTTGGTGCATTTAATCACCCTGGACCTGAAGAAAGTACTCTTGGGGGAGGGGCAATCTGAAAAGCTGGGACACTTGCCATGCCTCAGAAGGACAGCAAAGCAAGAAGAATGTATTTGAATGAGAGTTGGAGGCATTTTACATGAAATGAAAAGCTTCCTTATGCTTAAGAAAACACCCGGATGGCTGACCCAATGAAGCTCTCTTGTCTCATGCCAGAGATGGGAGCAGAAATGGACCAGCAACCTATGCTGGGAACGCAGATCCTTACCTGGGGATGCTAGGCTAGAGCTTCCCAGGCAGCTTCCCCTACACTTCTAAAATGAGCCAGGGAGCTACCGCCTCTATGTGGCTGGCTTACAGACTCCCCTCTAACAGTCTGGTGAGTCTAGGCCAACTCCACTGAGAAAGCACCTTGGTCTGTTTTGATCTGAAAATGGCCCTTACCCTAGAAGCACATCATCTACCTAACTTACCGAGGAAGAAACCAGTATGGTTCCCCACTGTCTCCAGTCACACCCGCTTCCTGCTACGCTGCTGCTACGTGCTCAGTCCTGAAGGTCACATCCCTGTCTGCCCCAGCCAGAGATCCTTTGTGTCTTATACGATACTCCTTATATGACCAGTATACATTTTTCTGTATTACAAACATGCTGAAGGATTATAGAATCCAGGGCCAGGACTACAGACTTAAGGATGGCCTAGCATTGTATCCCAGCCGTGATGAAAAACTATGTAACAAACAGTGGTCAGCACATCTCTGTTAGGAATGGCAGGGGAGAATTACCACTAGTGCACACTACTGGGCCAAGGTAGGTGAAAGATAAGGAGACAAGAGGTGTCAGGCAGGAAAAGCCACTCACTCAACAGCTTTTAAGATGGGCTCCATCACCCTTGTGTAATAGATGAGCAAACCCAGGGTCTTAGGACTGAACCCCATTCTAACTTGAAAGTACACATGCTTTCAGTCACGATATGGCTCAGGTAGCCCTCTTTGAATCATAGTTCAGTGCTGCAGACATCACTCTGACAAGCCAGGGA